AGCAGTACGGATGGTCTGTGGCAAGAGCCCACAGGGGCCAGCTGCCTGGGTGCGGGAGACACTGAAGGCCCTTGCTGGGCTCCTCGCTGAGGCTCAGCCTTCCCCAGGGCGGAGCCTCCTCAGGCAAACCCTCTCCTGCCCAGGCTGTACTTTCCTGCTCAGCCACTGCCGTCACCGTCACCGTCACCACCCCATCCGCACACATTGACTGTTCCCCTCCACCCTGGAGCGCCCAGGGCGGGTCACAGAATCACAGCATTCACCGCTACAGAGACCCTGCAGGCAGCCAGGGGACCCAGAATGGGCAGACCAGGGCCCTTCCATGGTCTCAGCTCCCTGAAGAGAGTCAAGGCTAGAGGGCTTGGGGGCCACACCCAGTGGTACTTAGGGCTTACCCCTAGCGTTGCTCAGGGACCATGTGGGATGCTGGGGATCAAACCTGGGCTGACTGTGTGAAAGGCCAATTGCTCTCGCCCGCCACTGACACCCCTGAGCCTCAGTCGTGCCACTCACCCTGTAGAATGATGAAAACACCTGTTGAGTGAGTGTGCTGTGGGTTTCAAGTCACCAGCACAGGCTTGGCGTCTGGTGCCCGGCCACAGCAGAGGAGGCCTTTGTCTCTCCGATCTGGACTTTCTTGGAGAAAAATCCTCTTTAGCTCCTTGTCCCCAACCCACCCCAGGCCTCTCCACACTTCTGCTCCTGATTCCACTTCATTTTGCAAAAAATATCAGTCAACCTCTGGGGAACCTTGGCAAAAGGCCTTCAAGGCCAGCTGGGGACTCCGCAGGTGGGTGGCCTGTGATGTCCTATTAGTGTCTGTGCGTGGCAGCCTCCCGGCCAGAAGAGAGGCCACACACCCCATGGTCAGGCCCATTCCTGGGCTCCATTTGTCAAACATTTGCAGTCTCTGTGTGCCCTCTCAGACACCGGTGGGGACCCTTCTCACCACACAAAGCCAGAGTGGAGAGCACCTTCCACTACAGCTGTGCTGTGGAGTCTGGGCAACCGGTTACCCTGATGCTCAAAGGCCCCCTCAGGCACTGCTGACCCTTTCTTCTCCTCCGTCCTGGTGCACATCACAGAAAAGCAACTGGCAGAAGGGAGGGGAGAGGGAAAGGGGAGGCAGCCATCGCCCCTTGGCCCTCCTCTCTCGGTTGCTGCTGAGACACTTGGGGCCCTTTTTTCTCTCCTGAGAGCTTGAGGGACACTGATCAGACCCAGGCTAAGAGGGGACAGAGCCAGAGACCCCACCAGCCCAAGACAGAGATTGCACTGGGCGCAGAGCATGACCTGTGACTCGGGTCCCCGACACGTGGGCAGTTGTGTGCAGCCTGGCCGATCCATGCCTGGTGGAATAGGAGTGTGACATTCCCAGGCCGCAAAGTAACAGAGGGCATTGTTTCCTGAGGTGTCCGAAACCACTCCATCACATGCTGCAAGGACAGGAAGACTCTGGAGAGCAAATTAGGGGGAGGGGGTTTGGGGGCACCCTGTATTCTCTTTAAGAAGGTTGGTTTCCAGAGGGCAGGCACTGAGGGATTTTTTATTTTTCCTGAAAAGAGGACCGTAAGTCAAGTAAGTATGGGGAGTCTCTATATTACAAGGTCTCCTCCCTGCTGGTGGCATCAACAAGCAATTAAAGTTAAAAATAAATTAATGTAATAAGTCAAAATATGGCTACTGTCCAGGCAGGTTTAATGTTGGATTCCAGATCCTTCCCCCATGAGCCGGGGCAGAACGGAGATGTGGCCAGACAACTTGGGACCCGGCCCCCCGCTCCCCACTGCTGCCCCCACACCACCACGCTGGTGGGCTGGAGACCTGCGAACCATTTCAGACCAGCTCTGCTGGATCCCGGGGCTGCGGGGCAGGGAGGAAGGTCCTGCCTTCCACCACCAGGCCTGGGCAAGCACAGCCTTTCTGCCCCGAGCAAATCAATTGAAAGTCTTGGCCAAGCCTGTTTGAGTTGGTGAGAGCCCAAGTGGGAATTCCAATCTGCCAGTGTTTGCTCTGCAGGCGAACCGAGCCAAACAGAAATGCTGCTTTGGGACTTTGCGCCAAATATCCATGGCGTATTCTGCCAACATGCTGGGCCAGCCCTCTGCACCCTCCCAGTTTTCTGCCCTGTGACAGCCTTCTGCTTGTGCCCTTTGAAGCTGCCCCACACCCAGCCCTGGGTGCCGGCTTCCCTGCCAGGTTAGGGACCCCAATCTTTTTGCTCCCACAGGCCGTCTGCTCAGCTGGTACCAGCTCTATCTGGAAACCTGCTTCAGCCCCTCTCTGGGTTTCTGACCTCTGCTTCCTGCTCTCAGACCCGTACTTTCCTGCTTGCTCCCTGTGCCCTGGATGGCCGCCCACTTCCTCTCAGCCCTGACGGGCACAGCCCCTGCAGCCAGCACCCAACAGAGGCAGAGCTGAGAGCCAGGAAGTGGGAGCTTATTTCTCCTTCTTCGCACACTCCCCTGAGGATTTGATTCTGGGCGCTGTTCTGCTCCATCAGCCCATTTCTCAGAGGAAATAGCAGAAGCACTGAAAGATCGGATACTCTGCCTAAGATTACCTAATTAAAAAAAAAAAACAGAGGCTGGAGCAATAGTACAGCTTGCCTTGCACATGGCTGACCTCAGTTCGATCCCTGGCATCCCATATGGTCTCCCAAGTACTGCCAGAAATGATTCCTGAGCACAGAGCCAGGAGTAAACTCCAAGCATCACCAAGTGTTGCTCCAAAACAAACAAAAAACTGTCTTTGGGCGGGGGGGGGGGGGCAGTGGAGAGGAAACATTAGGCCATACCTGGCTTTGCCCAGGGCTTCTTCCTGACTCTGTGCTCAAGGATAACTCCTGATAGTGCTCGTGTGACCATGTGTGGTGTCAGGCACACTGACTCAGGGCCAGCTGCATGCAAGGCAAGTGCCTTTCCTCTGCACTATCTCTACTTCAAAGATAGAAATCCCTGATGTCTGACTCCAAACCCATGGTCCTTTCTAAACTATTTCCATGTAGTCTGCTTTTGTTTTGTTTTGTTTTGCTTTGCTTTTGCTTTTACTTTTTAGTTCCGGGGTCACCTTAGTTTACAAAGGTTCTTCCTGGCTCGGTGCTTAGGTGTCACTCCCAGGGTTGTTCACGGTGCTGGGAATGGGACCTGGGGCTCCTGAATGCAAAGCATTTGCTCCAGCCTGTCACACATCTCCTGGGCCCCGAGGCCAATTGTTTAATCTTCTGTTCCTAACTGCAGAGGGCACATCCCATCATCCTTGGGAGAGCAGGTGGATGTTTCCACATTCTCCTGAGTCACGTGGCTACAACCAAGTGTGAGCACCTGGCAGCACCTGCTCAGTTTCTGCCCCCAGCCATCCCTGACTACCACTGTGCCCTCGTGGTTGGACCCTGGCGGCCACCTAGGGTACAGACACCCCATTTTCTTTAGGATCCCCATAGTGGGGTGGTGGATGGTCTAGTGCTCCAGCAGCTTCCTTCCTGTGTGCTATAAAAGGGGCCAGAGCGATAGTGCAGAAGGTAGGGCACTTGCCTTGCACACGGCCAACCTGGGTTCAATCCCAGGCATCCCATACGGTCCTCCCGAGTCCGCCCAGAGTGATCCCTGAGTGTAGACAGGAGTAACCCCCAAACACTGCCGCATGTGGCTCTAAAACAAAATATTTTCAATTTGGTTCTAAGAGCGTGACCATCTGGGAGCGCAGATGACCCACATAACTTGGTAGAACTTACTGTCCATGTTCCCACCATGACTGTCTGTCCTCAGGCAGAGTCTGTCCATCTGGCAAGCAGCTGCCCCCTAATGCAGCCACAGGCACTGATCAAGCCACGGCCAGTCTTCCAGTTTCTCATCCCAGAAGCCCAGCCCCTGCCCAGCTTAGCTTCGCTTGTGGAAGAGTTGTGTGGAGTGTGTGGAGATGCATGAACAAAATCACAAAAAGAGGCAAGACCTGCCCTGTCCCCTGGGTAGGAGCCCCTGGGCCACCCTCTGTGCAGCCCATCCCCATAGTACTCTGACTGCCCTGCAGGGCTCTCAGGGCTGGGCCCCCCAGCATCTCAGTCTGCAATGGCACCATCAAGGGGATGGGAAGCAGCCTAGGGAGTGGCCAGGCCTTGGCCTGTCAGTCAGGAGCAGGAAAAGCAACTGCTCTGTCCTGCTTTCATACAGCGCCATCCGGCCATGCCAGGGTACTGCGGGAAGGACACCAGAAACTCTGTCTCTCCTCCCACACCACCTGCAGGATCAGAGGACACACACAGCAGTGCTTAAGGGCTACTGCCAGCTCAGTGCTCAAGGGTGACTCCCAGAAGTGCTCTGTGGGGGACCATGTGGTGCTGGGGATCAAACCCCAGCCTCTTCCACACAAAGCCAGTACTCCTGTCAATTGAACATTCTCCGCCTCCTGAAAGTGCTGACCTTCAACTGGACAGCCCAAACGGAACTGTGAGGATGAAACAGCCCAACACCTTGTTGAGGAGCCCAGAGACCAGCCACTTCCTCTGCCCTGCACCCCTGAACATAATGGCCACACACAGTCCCGCCAGTCACAGCCAATCTCTGGGGCCCCTCAGGCCCCAGAGCAGAACAGATAAACAGAGAAGGGCCCCAAGGGCAGCGTGCATCTCTGCCGCATATGGAGGTGCCCCCACAGAGGAGCCTGGCAGAGGCTCCCGTGCCAGTGTGGCCACAAGAGCTCAAAGGTGCCCCACACCTTCCTGTGGCTGCACTCCTTGACCTGGCCTCTGGCAGCTTCCCTAGACACCTAGCAGAGAGTGTGGGCCTGGATGGCCTCTGGCCAGGGCCCATCCTCCTGCTCCCCTTCCCAGCCTCTTGCTCTGTCATATGAGTGAGCGATGCAGGTGACTTCCAGGGAATTTGATTTCACATAGGTTCAGGCCAAAACCTCCACAAGGGAGAAATTCCATGATCACAGGCTCTGGGGGAAGGCAGCGCATCCAGCCTGTTTAATGGGGACCACTCTAGTGCCTGCCTGTCCCCTCACCTAGAAGAGACTTTATTCTCCTTTTCCGAGGCTGGAAACTCTTTCTTCTTGGGCATTTCTTCAAGCATCAAGCTTAGCACATGCACAATCTCGTAGTATAACTTTTGTAACCTAGAAATGAAGGAGATCGGGAGGGCTCAGGTCAGGCCTCTGGGTGCTGCTGTTCTCACCTTCACCCTACTAGACCTGTCATTCACCACACCCACCTGGGGCAGACAGGAGCAGGACAGAGCAAAGCGGGAGGTGGTGGTGGGAGGGGGGCCAGCTGGGCTGGGATACTAGCACCCTCCCACCTGAGGCCCCTATGTTAGGGTGTGATCCCCCACTCCTGGGCTCTGAGTGAGTGACCATGTGATGAGATCAGACGTTTGGTCCAGCTCTCTCTCTGAACCAAAGTGGGTCCTCCCAAGCTTTCTTCTAGTTCCGCCAGTCCACAACACCAGAAGCTAGGCAAGTCCCGGTTCAGGAGCCCACTGAGGCCCCAGCGCTTGTGTGCTCCCCTTTCTAAATAGTCATGGTCAGCTGCAACCCCCACTAAGGCGCAGCTCAGGGGACAGCCACTCTCAGTGCCTCCTGGGCCCTATTTCCACAGTAGTAGCCCAGCAGCCCCTCATGGGACAGCTGTGGAAGGACAGGGATGTGGCCAGAGCCACATGGGCAGGGAGTGTTCGAACCAGGTAAGGATGTCAGCCCCTACTGTGTTTCTTCCTTTGCCCTCTGAAAGACAGTCGGAGGACGGGCCCTGCAGTGTGGAAGGAGCCTGCATTTAAGCACAGGCGGAGGAGGCTGGGGAGGGGCAGGGGATAGAGTCCCCTCCTCACCTGGGGGGCTTTCCACACTGCACCCTGTGCCTACATGAGTTCTGGCCTCCCAGAAGGGTTCGCACCACCCCTCTGCTCTATTGCCTTTGCCACAGCCCTCTCGCAGGGTCAACCCAGCCCTCTCCTCAGTGACGGCTTTGGGCTAGGGCAGAGAAGCAGTGATTTACTCGCTGATTGTACGGTCCTGGTTGTCCAGAGTGGTCAAGTAGACATCAATGAAGGGGAGGCTGGTGCCAAAATCATCCAAAACCATGGGCTCATCATGTCTCAGGGTCTTCTTGAAGTCCTTCACCAGCTCATTGAAACTTCTGCAGTCAACATTCTTCAAGAGGAAGAATAGTGGGGCTGGAGCAATAGCACAGTGGGTAGGGTGTTTGCCTTGCACACGGCCAACCCGGGTTCGATTCCCAGCATCCCATATGGTCTCCTGAGCACTGCCAGGAGTAATTTCTGAGTGCAGAGCCAGGGGTAACCCCTGTGCATTGCCGGGAGTGACCAAAAAAAGGCAAAAAAAAAAATCAGGTTAAAAAAAAAGAGGAAGAACAGAGACAGTGGTGACAAGGACATGGGCACAGTCTTGACATGCAGAGAATTGGAGGAACTGCTTGGACCATCTGGGATCCTGGCCCCTGGTCACAGGCTTGTGCTGACCTCAGAGCAGTAGGCACCACCAGCCCTGACCTGAGGCCAGAAGGAGCCAACGAGAGCCTCAGCATGGCCTCCCAGACAAATTAAGTGTGTGTCCCCACTCCCCCTCCCCCTTCCCACACACACACATCCCACCCAGAGAAAAAGGCTCAGGAGAAACGCACAGACCACAAAGAGAGGCAGCATGTCTGGACCTGGCCGAGTGCCTGGGGCCCCGCGTGGGGAGCGCAGGGCACTCTGGCTGAGACAGTCTGGCCCTTCACATCACATCACATCACATCGTGCTTGACAGAAAACCTCCCACTGGGTGAGTTCATTCTTGTTTCAGTTTGGAAAACCCAGGCAAAGAACACCTGTCAGGGTTCCTGCCGCCTCCCTCACTGAAGCCCTCAGTCACATGGCGTTACATGAGGCCGGAGGATAGGACAGTGGGGAGGGTGCTTGCCTTGCACATTGCTGACCTGGGTTCGATACCTGGCACCCCATATGGTCCACTGAACCTTCCAGGCTCCAGAGCTAGGGGTAAGCCACCAGGTGTGGCTCCGAAACAGCAACAAAACACACAGAGGTGGTCCAGACGAAGGGCTCTGCTATCTAGGGAAATTTAAATACACAGAAACTAAAGCTTGGCTCTGGAAAAGACCAGGGTCATGCACCTGCCTTACCATGGACCGAAGACATCTGAAGGCCACCTGCCCTCCCCAGGGTCTGCAGGCCCCTCTGCCTGGCCACTCCATCAACTCTCACCACCTATCTTGTCGACCTGCCCTGCAGAGCCCCCTACCTGTGCCTGCATCAGAATGCTGATGGTCTCCTGCTGCCTCTTCACGATCACCTGCTTCTCTCCTATGACCGCCATCTGTCTTTCAGTTATCAGCTGCCGCTCAAATTTCTTGATGGAATTCTAGAGAGCAGGAGGAGAGAGGTATGCTGCTGGCTCTCCCCATCTCACCTCCTCTCCTCTTCCTGAGCCTGCTTTGTGGCACAGGCCAGTCAGCAGGGAAACACACCCCAGCTGGGGCCATCCCCCACTGCCAGTGGCTTCCCAGGTCCCAGGGTGCAGTTGTCACCTTCACAGGCGAAAGGAGAAGAGCAGGTGTGGGCGAGGGAGGGACTGCCTCCAGGAGAGAGACAGCTCGGGGGGCCTCTTTGGAAACCTGCCAGCTGGGACCCCACCTGTGCACACGGTCTCACCTCGGTGTGGATGATCATGACAGCCACAAACATGTTGAGGAAGATGAAGGAGGCGAGCAGGATGAAGATGATGGTGAAGACCCGGCCCAGAGGAACACCCCGCTCATCCAACTGCTCCTGCAGGTCTGTCCAGCCGTCGACCTGCTTGGACAGGGCAGAGTGTACTGAGTGTGCAGGCCAGTGGGGGGTCCTGCTTCTCGATGCCCCTAGGGGAGACTCAGCCCCATGAAGGACAAGCTTGACTCTGCCCTCATCCCTCAACTCTCTGACCCATAAACTCTAACTCATACGGGCAGTCCAAGTGGAGGAGAGTTTGGACCTAGGCTTCCTTAATGCTTTGTGGACACCCCAGTCTTCCTGGAGTCCAACAGTTTTGGCCTCTAGTCTTGGGCTCTGAAGATTTATTCTGAGTGGATTTGTGACCGCTGATTTCTAACGATGTATTTGAAATGGGTTTCACTTGAAGCATATGCCAAATGAAATATCATTTTAGAGCTCTTAGGGATGATTGTAACCCTCTGGCTAAAAATGGACTCTTCTAGGGAATGTCAAGATTTGAGGAACAGATGGGACCCCCTACACCCAGCCAAGGCACAGGACTGGGTTTAGTCCTGGGAGGTCAGTTCTCAGCTTCCCAGCCCACCCAAGTTCTGAGGCTCAGCACACCCACACACAGGGGCTGGCTGTTCCCCCTCAAGACCCCGGCCGCAGCGGCCCCATACAGTACCGTGGCCAAGCTGAAGAGGGTAAAGAAGGCCAGGGCCAGGCTCCCCCAGTTTTTCTGGTCCCCTGCTTCTGAAGATCCAAATAGGCAGAAGCCCAGGATGGCAAAGATGTACATGAGGATAAAGAGCATGCTGAGCACGGAGGCCACGGAATAGACGGTCTGGCCCACGGCATTGATGAGCGTCTGCAAGACAGAGGTGCTGCAGCTAGTACGGCTGCCAGGGCAGGGAAAATCAGAACTTAGGGGGTCTGGTCTTCCCAGACCACAGTTATCTGTCTATAGCACCTGGTGCCATACGTTGTACATGGTAGGTGGATGGAAGCCTGTGTCAGATTGAGAGCTGAACCAATCTTATCCATGCCTGAGCTTCGCTGTCAGCCCCCTGGGGGATGGCGGGATGGGTCACCTCAGGTCTCCCGTAACCTCCCCACCCGAATCTGTGGTCAACTCAAGGTGCCATTCTCCTACTTCTCAGCTGAAGGTCAACCCTGAAGGATGTTCCAGCTCTTGGAGAAGTAAGGTATGGCAACAAAAGAGGTCCAGAGGAATATGCTCCCCTCTCTCTCTGGACCCTGTTTCACAGCAAGTCTCCCTGGTGGAAGGGGTGTTTGTCCTTCCCAGCACACCACCTCCTCCTGGGGAGCACAAGAATGGCCCTTCCTCCACAGTTTGACCTGGAGTCTTGCTAAGTCCCTGTTTCCTAGGTGTAGGCACAGATGCGATCTCAAGGCAGGCAGCTCTCATCCTTTCTTCCATTTCAAGAAGAGGAATCAGGGGCTCAGCTCAGCACAGCGCTGCACCCAGGGTCACACTCCAGCACTTGGACAGAACTGGAACCACTCTAAAAGCCTTTCCTGCTGCTGCTGCATCTTCAGCTACTAACGTTCTTTTTATTTTATTTTATTTTGCTTTTTTGGGTCACACCCAGCACAGGGGTTACTCCTGGCTCATGCACTCAGGTATTACTCCTGGCAGTGCTCGGAGGACCATATGGGATGCTGGGAATCAAACCTGGGTCAGCCGCGTGCAATGCAAATGCTCTACCAGCTGTGCTATTGCTCCAGCCCCCTACTAATGTTCTTTTCTTAAGTCAAGGAATTGTCTACTGATACAACACTGGGAAAGGAGGTCCTTGAGAGAGCAGGACACTGAGCATTTCAGGAGGCAGAGAATGTTGAGCACTTGGGGCGAAGGAGAGGGAGACCAAAAGGGCCTGCCACAGAGGCGGAGCGAGGTGGAGGGGATGGGGTTGGGGTGGGAGGGAGGGATGCTGGGACCATTGGTGGTAGAAAATAGGCACTGGTGGAGGGATGGGTATTCGATCATTGTATGACTGAAATGCAAGTATGAAAGTTTGTAAGCCTGTAACTATACCTCACGGTGATTCGCTAAAAATAAATAAATAAAATTTGAAAAAAAAGAGCACTTGGGGCTTTCCTTATATGGGGGCTTGTCTGGAAGCTCCCCTCTTCCCTTGATGGAAGAAAATATATAGGTGTGTGTATGTGGGGGGGGGGTGAGATTTTGGGCCATATCTGGCAGTGCTCAGGGCTTACTCCTGAGCTTGAGGGGCCAGATGGGATGCCAGGGATTGAACCCAAGTTGAGCATGTGCAAGGCAAGCTCTACTATCTCTACACCACACTACACTATCTCTTCTAGACCCTGTAGTTTTGATGAATTATAAAAGAAGTAAGATGTGTGGAAACTTCCTTTATGGCTGGACCACAAAGTGAGAACTCTCTTCCAGGGAAGAAGCCCTGAGTCCTTAGGAGAAATGCTGCAGCAGGAGGGAATGTATTGTGGGGGGACCCCACCTAGTAGCCGAGGTAGGTAGGAGAGTGGGGGAACCCCCACTGGGGCAGGCTGACAGGCTCGCAGGGCAAAGGGCAAAGCTGGGCAGTCTCAGTCTCAGCCTGGTCACTGGCTGCAGTTACAGCCTTCAAACACAGCCCAGAAATCCAGTACTAGAGTCCAGATAGAATAGCCTTATAGGATGGGAGCCCTTTCTCTGAGGAAATACAGAGCTTTGGAGGTCTATAATGTAGTCCCCAGTCGGGGTCAGATTTCTGAGCAATGTCTTACTTTCCTGAGCTGGAACCTTCTGGGATTAGAGAGGACCCCCTGGTCAGGGGTGTCACTAAGTGGCAGAGGGCTTGCCTTGCATGCACAGTGTCCTGGGTTCAATAGATTACATAAAATGAAATAAATAGGACTCTGGGCAGAGCTGGTGAGCCAACGCAGCTGTCCACAGAGAGCATCCCTGCACTGAGATGAGCTATAGGAAGAAACCTGGCCAGGAGGCAAGGCCAGCACCACCCACAGCCAGGCTGAGATACCCCAGATGTCCAGCTCTCAGCACTTCTCCAGTTGCCCCTGGTGCCCAAGTCTCACTATGAGATGGAAGTCAGGGCTCTCTTATTGCCCATTCTGGGATCTGGGCTACCAGAAGCCCACTGAGAGCACCGAGGCTGTGTGCCCTCTAAAACCCTCAGATCTGATGAACATGAATCAGTACCAAGGTCAGGTGCCTGCCTCTGGGTTCTCCTGCTCCCCACAGCTGTCCAGACTAGTGTCCAGAGGGCATGGCATCCAGAGTCTCCTCTGTGTTCCTGAGGGTCCAGGGTCCAATGTTGTTTCCGTGCCCACAGATCAATGTGTAGGCCCGCAAGGTCTAAGAGTCCCTTCTAGGGGAAGACAGATTCTGGGTGCAGAGCCAGGACAAAAAGACAATTGTCCAAGATTTCAGTCTCAGAACACAGATTGGCCAGCACAGAGGCAAGCCAGGTCACCCCATAATGTCTCATCAGGAGCAGCATTCTCTGGGGTGCATGAATAAGGAACTATTCCCACCAGGAAGCAAACCCACCTGAGCTCTTCTGGGAAGGCAGTGCCGGGCCTTTCGTTCAGCAGGTCTGCCTATTTATTTATTGTTTTGGGGCCACACCCAGCGGTGCTCAGGGCTTACTCCTTTCTCTATGCTCAGGAATCTCTCCTAAAGGGACTCAGGGGATTAAATAGAGTGCCAGAGATCGAATCTGGGTTGACCACATGCAAGGCAATTTCCCTGCCCTTTCCAACTCCCTGGTCTGCTTTTTTAGAAAATTGGTCACTTGGCAGCGTGGGAAAGAGGCCACTGGGGAGTCGGGCATCTCCAGCATCAACTCTAGCACTGATCTGCCAGGGATCACGGGTGTCCTCAATTTCCTTGCCTAAAATGGAGCAAACAGTCCCTTTCCTCCAGATGTTTAAGATTGATGCCTTGCGTGTGTGAGGTCCTGGTTTCAAGCCCAGGCATGGACAAAAAATAAAATGAGGGGGGAGGAACAATGATATAGCTCAAAGATGAAGTGTACACTTTCCTTGGCATTATATGGTTCCCGAGTACTGCTGGGGCCCTTCCTGCCCCCAACTAAAATTAAAGATTAATACCAGAAGAGGCATATTCTCTGCTGCCTGTATCACAACCTGCAATGTGCTTGCTCTCTCATGCATACTCTCCCTCTCTCTGCATCTCCTTATATTTCTCTAAATAAAAATATTTTACTTTAATAATATCAGAAGAAACCATCCTGCCATACAATGTGAATCAGTTAACTGAACAACAATAGTAAAATTATTATTACGCTGGGCCAATGGGTAGATGAACCCTATGACCTGCCCTTCAAAACCAGGACACTCTCAGCCTACTTACCCGGATGCCACGGCTGTAGGTAATAAGTTTGAGAATGCGCAAGGACTGTAAGCCATTAGAAATGTTGATGTAGGGGTAGTGGTTGCCTTTGATCTTCTTGAGAGTAAAGGGGACACTGAGAAAGATTATGACAGCTATATCTAACATATTGTAGCCATCCTTCCAATAGTTGATGGGGTCTGCATAGAGCTTCAAGTAGAATTCAGTGCTATAGATGGACACAAAGATGACCTCAGAGACCTGCATGGGTGGCAAGGATGGCAGGTCAGACTCAACGGCAGGTCAGACCCAGTGGCAGGCCTATTCCCTGGTGGCCCTCTCCACCCTGGACGACCCAATCCAACAGGTGGCCCTCTCCACCCTGGACGACCCAATCCAAGTGTGTGCTTAGAGTAAGAGGTGGGGGAGGGGTGTGCTTCCTCAGTCACCCAGGTGAGCGAGAAATCCAAGCAGAGTCCTTGTCATAGAGGGGACACACAGTGGGCCCATTTCTTTTTCTTTCTGCATCTTCACACTTGGTGACCCTAAGAAAATTTGGGAATGACTAGCTGACCACCAGAGAAAATTACATCAAGGTCCCCTGCATGAAGCACCTCAGGATGTCAGGCAATCTGAAAGTAGTTTTCTCAAGGAGAGATCCCAAGAGTTTACCGGCCAACATGAATGTATAAACTTTTAGAAATATAGATGAAAAACAAATACTTATGTTTATAATTAATTACTCTTTAAAATAGTTAACCAATGTGTTCTCCACTTTTATTCTTCATCAATCTGGGGGGGTGGGCGGAGGGCAGCATTACATGCAGTACTTAGGGAGTGAATGGGATAGTCACTCAACACTACCACCCAAGATGCATCACCCAGAACCACCCTAGCAGGGTCTGGGGGCCTCCATGGCCACACAGGGCAATGCTCAGGGATCATCAAACAATCTCAGTCATATTCTTCTTATGCATCAGCAACTCATGGGCTCTATTTTTTACCAAAAGGTAATTTGGGGGTTACTGAAGCTGTTTCTTATTGTCAATGTATTCACTCATTTAAAAAGTTTTAGCAGGGTCCGGAGCGATAGCACAGCAGGTAGGGTGTTTGCCTTGCACGTGGCTGACCCGGGTTTGATCTCCAGCATCCCATATGGACCCCCAGCACTGTCAGGAGTAATTTCTGAGTGAAGAGCCAGAAGTAACCCCTGAGCATCGCTTGGTGTAACTCAAAAAAGCAAAAAGAAAAGTTTTAGCAAACATCTGGGCTGGAGCGATAGCACAGTGGTAGGGCAATTGCCTTGCACACGGCCAGCCTGGCCGAGCCGGGTTCAATTCCTTCGCCCCTCTCGGAGAGCCCGGCAAGCTACTGAGAGTATCGTGCCCACATGGCAAAGCCTGGCAAGCCACCCGTGACGTATCCGATATGCCAAACACAGTAACAACAAGTCTCATGATGGAGATGTTACTGGGCCCGCTTGAGCAAATCGATGAACAACGGGAAGACAGTGACAGTGACAGCAAACATCCACAATAATCTAAGCAAGCACTGTTTCAGGTAGGCACTAGAGAATGCAATCATGAATGAATGAGATGGAAACTGTTCAGCACTTGGAAGTTTATACTCTAGGTGGACAGAGATAACTGCATAAAGAAATACATAGATAATATCATGCAGGAAAGGGCTGGGAAGGTGGAACAGGCAGTAGGAGCTGCTCTGTGAGAAAAGGTGGTGCCTAGAGGGTTCATGGATGCTGGGAATGAAGATGTACCACAAACTGGGTGATGGCACCCCAAGGGAGAGGATGGTGAGACTTTATCTAAGGTGAGTTTGCAGTGGGCTGGAGAGCAGTCAGAGAAAGTTTCTGGCAGTAAATAGAAAGGTATGCCCTTTTGAAAGTGAAAAAAGATAAACCACTTTTAAAATATGTGTCAGATGATTTCACAGGAAATGGAAACTCAAGCTGCAGCTCACCATTTGGATAACGTTAGGGCAGCTGGTGTCTTTATTTGTCCTCTGTGTTTATATTTGTGGTCTCCACATGACAACTATTTATATACACTGTTTTTTTAACTACTATGTAACATTTTATATAAAATAGTATTAAAAAAACAATGTGATGCACAACCATAAATTATTGCCCAGATGAAACAATAAAAAGTCTCTTGTAGATCCCACGTTTGATCAAATCCCTTGCCCTTGTCACAAAAGAATCCTATTGCAAATTTGGAGTTACTCATACTCTTGTAAGTGCTACTTTTACTTCATATATATCCCTAACAATGACTGGTTTTGTGACTCATTTTATACTGCACAAATGGAATAGATAGCAAATTTACTAAATGTATAAATGTACTATTCTTTAGCAATTTGTTTTTGGACTATATCTGGTGGTACTCAGGGGCTACTTTCAGCATGGTGTTTGGGGACTATGGAATGCTGGGAACAAAACCTGGGCCTTCTTTGTGGGCAGCATGCACTCAGGCTCATGGAAATATCTCCCAAGCACCAGAGATTCACTTTGTTTGTTGAAAATATTTATCGGAGGGGCCGGAAGGATAGGAAGGGAATAAAGGTGCTTGCCTTGCAAGTGGTTGACTTGGGTTCAATCCCCAGCACCGCATATGATCCCAAGAATAGCCAGGAGTGATTCCTAAGCACAGTCACATGTGGCCTAAAATTAAAAATAAAAAATGTATTTGCTATGTGTAGGCCAGAGTTGTAGCTCAATGATAGCACATTTGCCTTGCATGTGTGAGGCCCTGGGTTCCATTTTCAGCATCTTGCATAAAATAAATTATTTTTTGAGATTCATCTGTGTCAATATGCATAAGTGGTAGTTTACTGTTTCACTATTACTTTGCAGTTCCAATTAGGAAAAATATCTATAATTTATCCATTTGCCTGTTGAGTATTCTTTAGCTTTTTAATAATTTACTATTGAAAATAACATAATAGTATAAAAAGTTGAGATAATTTTGAAGGGGTGTTTTGGGTGGTTTGGGGTTGGCTGTGCTCACGGCTTGCTCCTGGTTCGACACTCAGGGGTCATTTAGGGGACCAAATAGGATGCCTGGGATGGAACCTGGGTCATCCACGTGCACAACAAGCACCTATGTGCTAAATTATTACTCCGGTCCCCCAAAGCTGGGATAATTCTCACACATTATATTATACATATGTGTAAAGTTTCTCTCAGTTATATACGAAGGAGTGGAATTAGTTATAAGATATGCATGTGTATCTGGGCTCGAGTGATAGTACAATGGGTAGGGCACTTGCTTTGCATGTGGCCAAAGTGGGCTCCATTTCTGGTACCCCATAGGGTCCTCAGAACCCATTAGGAGTGATCCTTGAGAATAAAGCCAGGAGTAATCCCTGAGCACTGCCAGGTGTGGCTCAAAAAAAGGGTTGATTCTAGGCACCTCATGGTCTCCTGAGCAGTGCCAGAAGTGATCCCTGGATATAGAGTCAGGAGTGAGCCCCAAGCATAGCTGGGTGTGACCCAAAAAACAAAACAAATAAGATATATATATATATTTATATATATATAAAACTTCACCTCCATTAGATATTGCTAAATTATCTTGTATGGCTATAATACCTATTTCCATTAATATCGCCATATTATCTTACATTCCCTACTTCCTGCTGTCACATTTCATTTTTTTAAGGCTCCATGATTCACAATACGGTTAAGGGTAATGTTTCAGGCCTACAATGTTCTACACCACACCCACCAAGAGTGTCAGCTCCTTCCCCCACTGCCTCTAATTCCCCTCTTGCCCCCACCTCCTGAGAAAACTCAGTTCTGTAGGTGACACTCAGAACTGACAGACTTTTTTTCCCCCAAACTATTTTTATTAAAGTCCCAGGATTTACAACACTGCTTACATCTTTCATGCATACCTCATTCCAACACCACAACCATCACTACTTCCCTGCACCAGTGTCCCAAGGGTCCCTCCTCCATCCCTGTAAACTCAATTCTATAGACAAAACCGCTGGTTCTAATGACATTGGCCATCTGTCTTTCCCTTACTATCTTTTTTACATCCCACATACGATAAATACATTTTTAATAAAAATGTACTGTGGACCTGGAGTGATAGTACAGCAGGTAGGGTGCTTGCCTTGCATGCAGCTGGCCTGAATACAATCCTCAGCTCCTATATAGTCCCTCAAGACCATCAGAAGTAATCCCTTAGCACTGCTGAGTGTGGCCCAAATGTCAAACAAAAAAAACCCAGAATTATTGTGAGGTAGTGACATCTACACGCATGTAGACAAATAAAGCTAAATCCGGGCATTGATAGGTAAAAGATCATAATAAAAATACCTAAAAACATCACCTGAATAGACAAAGAACATGAAACATTAATTTATCATTGAAAAATTGTAAAATCACTATGCAAACTAGAAATGCACAGGTCTTTCTGGATCTAGTTGAGAGCAGCCATGAATGCCATGAGTGAATGTCATAGTGACAAAATGCTGAGAAGTTTGTCTTCTTTTAGAGAAGCTTCCTTTATGTTTCTTGCAAAACTGGTTTCAGGCTTTGAATTCCCTAAGATGTTGCTTGTCCATGAAGCTCTTTATTGTTCCTTCAAATCTGAACGATAATCCCGATAGAATAATCTTGGTGAAGGTGTGCATCTCATTGAGGTTTGTTTTCTACATCCTACTATTTCTCATAGATCTGCTGTGAATCTTACGGATTCTCCTTTGTAAGTTCCATTTTTGATCTTGCTTGCTTTCAACATTTTGTTTCTGTTTTTGGATTTGTCATTTTGATTAAATAAAGTGTCTTAGAGTTTTTCTAGTAAGGGCTATTTTTGCTGAGACTCTGCAGTCTCTTGAATCTACACTTCTCCATCATTCTTATGTACAATTTCTTTAGTATTCTCCATCAAATTTGCCTTCCTGTTTTTGTAGGGACTTGGATGATTCTTAAAAGGTTCCTCTTGAAGTTTCATCCCATAATTCTCTGGGTGCTGCTGTTCTTTATAGACTTTTCCCCCTTTTCTGTTGTTTTCTAGGTTTCCTGTATCCCATCTTCGAGCTTCTTGATCTTTTCCTTAGCTGTTCAGACCTTCTATTGAGTTGTTTTTAATATCAACTATCATACTCTTAATTTGTCACTTCTAATTGTAGTTTTCTCACTTCTACTCTCCTATTTTTTATATTTTGATTACCTGACATAGGTAATGTTTGATTTCATTAAACCCCCTCAACATGGTGCTATTAAAATTATCTCT